CTTACAGGTGACTTCAATGCTCATGTTGGCAATGATTATCATTCTTGAAAGGGTGTTTTAGGTCGCCATGGTATTGGTCGTGTGAATTTGTATGGATTATGCCTTCTCACTATCTGCAAGTAATTTGACTTTAGTATTACTAAAACCTTCTACCAGCAACCCAGCTGTTGTAAGACCATGTGGATACATCCTCGTTCGAAAGACTGACACCTGATCAAATACATCATCACCAAAAGAAGGGACATAAAAGATTTTAAGATCGTGTGTTCATTCCACACAACTTGCTATCTATCAGATCATGCTCTACTTCAGAGTAAGTCTATACTGCATCTACAAAAGTGAAGGATTATAAATTCTACGGTGCCCAAGAACATTAATGTACTGCCTCTTAAATTGACTGAAATGAAAATTGAGCTCTCTGACAAACTTGATGCTGCACTCGATTCTGTAAACATTACCAATAATATTGAATCATCTTGAAAGGCTCTGTGGGATGCAACACATTCTGCATCCTTGGAGGTTCTCAGACTAACACAACAAAAACATCAAGACTGGTTTGATGACAATAATACAGAGGTTCAGCAGCTTATAGATCAAGTGCACTCTTCTCATAAAGCATGGATTGAGGACAAGAACTCATCCACTAAGAAGATCGTTTACAAGAAGTGCAAAAGTCAGGTCCAACAAGCTCTCAGAATCATGAAAGAGTGTTGGTGGTCTGAAAAGGCCACTGAACTCCAAGAAGCTTCAGATAGAAAAGCTGCAAAGGTTTTCTATGCTGGTGTTTTCGGTCCTCAGAAAAGTGGTGTGAAACTCTCTTGACGGATAAGTCAGACATTTTGGATCACTGGAAAGAGCACTTTGAAACTGTTAAACACCACTTCAGTTACTGATGAGGAAGCCATTTCTTCAATTGTGCAGAATCCAGAAATTCCAGAGTTGTCTTTTGAACCTACCTATTAAGAGGTAAGTGACTCCAAGCAGATCTCATCTGGAAAATAACCTACTCCTAAGGATCCTATCATCACCTGAAGTGTATAAGCATGGTGGCCAAAAGTTGTTAGAAAAGTTACATCTCCTTTTCTTAGAGATATGGAACGAAGGCTGTGTCCCACAGGATTATAAAAATGCCTCTATCAAACACCTCTATGAAAACAAAGGTATCAGGAGTGTCTGTGATAATCATTGAGGGATATCACTCCTTTCTATTGCAGGCAAAATCCTAGCTAGACTGATTCTAAACAGAATCGTTATACACCTTGTTGACAACATCTATCCTGAATCGCAGTGTGGTTTTTGGTCGGGTCATGGCACCATTGACATATTTTCTCTTTGTCAAGTTGCAAAGAAGGTTTGTGAGAAAAACTAGGAGTTGTACATGGTGTTTGTGAACTTGGAGAAGGCGGCATTTGACACTTAATCGATAGGCTCTTTGGCAAGTCTTGAGAAAACTTGACATCCCAGAAAACATGCTGAAGGTGATCATCTCCTTTCATGAAGGAATGAAAGCTAATATTGCGTGTGATGATATGGCTACCACTGTTTTCAGCAAACTTCGCCATTGCTTGTGGGACGAGTGGGGTATTCAACTGGATACAAAAATTTGGGTTTACAGAGCTGTTGCCCTTGCCGTCCATATATGCCAGCTGGATGTTTTTCATAAGAGCTGTTTGTGTGCCATCTGGAGAAGTAACCTTTCACACAGTAAGAAAAAAAAAAAAAAAAAAGCAAAAATTACAATATATATATATATATATATATATATATATATAAAAAACTTTAAACATTATTATAGTGGATACTCTGTATTTAAAATAGATGCTCCATTTATATTTATTTAAAAATGTATCATGTCTATTATGCATTCAAAAAATCTTAAAGAAAAAATGCATTCCTCAGCAAGGATTAAACCTGTGTCCCCCTTTGTAGGGGAACCACATATGCAAGGTTCTACAGGGTGCGATAGGTAAATTGTCGCCATTTTTTAATTTCATGCATGTTTGTAGTTTATTTTTTATTTTGTTGACTGCATAGTATATTAGAGTCAGTTGGGCACCATCTGTGAGAAAAACAGCATCATGACAATTCACTTTGCCAGAAATTTGGAAACAGCATGCTGTACTACTTGGCATTCATGCCAGCAGCTCCAATACAAACCTTTCAGAGTATTTAGATGTCAATCTGAAGACAGTGCAGAGCATTTGGAAAGAGTTGGATGAGTTTAATGGTGATTACAAAGGTATGACAGATCAGAAAACTCATTCTGATAAGAACTACCAAATTTTTTGGTGAGGGCCTCATACTCAACACAGAGGCCTAAATCAAGTGCCTTTAAGAGGTAGTGCTGCCCTGGGTTAAGAGGGTGGATACTGAAAGACCCTATGTCTGGCAACAAGACACTGCATCATGCTACACAAGCAAGAGAACTCACTCATGGCTGTCAGACAATTTCTGCCACTACATCACTCTTTACATCTGGCCATCTAACTCCCCAGACTGCAACACCATTGTTTATTATGCATGGGGTGCAGTTGAGCAAGAAATCAAAACTCCCTGTAACACCAAAGTGGAACTGAAGGCAAGGATTATGGCAGCCTTCACCAACTTAAACAAGGAGACCGTCCAGAAAAGTTGCAGGAGATTCCGAAGTTGTCTGGAGGCCATGGTTGAACCCAATGGCAATTTTATTGAATAAATTTACTCTTTAGTATTTCAAGATATTTTTGTGTAATTTTGGTAAATATATCTTAAAAGTTTTGCATAATTTAGACAATTTATCCATCGAATCTTGTGTTTTCTATTTTTAAGGCAGCACATCCTTTTCACCCAGGTTTTTTTTTTGCAAATGTTCTATTTCTGAAATGTAAGCAAAGCAGTTTGCCAAGAATTAATTTAACCCACCCCTGCAAGCATTTTTATTACTTTAAACGTTATTATAGCGGATACTCCATATTTGAAATAGATGCATCATTAAGCTTCCTATACATCTTATAAGTGCAGTTCAATATCTATATATTCATGGTTCCTCACAAAGCAACAACAGTGGAACAGCTAGTGAAACTATCACTCTACAGCATGCACCTTAGTGATCTTTTTTTTTTATATATATATATATATATATATATATATATATATATATATATATGTGTGTGTGTGTAAAAATGTATAGAAAATTGGAAAGAACTCATTAGGTAAATAATCCAAAGTCCTTTAGTACTTTTATTTTTATTTTATTTTTTTTTTTTTAAATAGTGCTCGATACAAAAGTAGAGCATAAATATAATTATTTATTTAAAAATATGATTCCAACGCTACATAAGAGTTCTCATGTTTCATGAAAACTTCAATTATTTGAATTAAATTGAATTAAAGTACTAAGCTCTGTTCCATCTTCAAAAAAAAAAAAAAAAAAAAAATTTTTTTTTTTTTTTTAATATACACACAACACCCTTTCAGAAAAAAATAAATAAAATAAAAAAATAAATAAATCTCCATAGACACTTAACCAGACTAGACAATGTCATCTTCCACTTAAAATTTAGACACCCCAACCTCTGTGAATGTAACCGAGATATTGATACAAATTATTAACCCTTACATCCCTTTTCTTTAAACAATTGCTCTAGCCGTTATCATAGTAATCTTAATTTCAATAATGAATATGCTTATAAAAACGTAAGTTTCAGGAACAAGTTATTCCCCCCCAAAAAGCTTTTGCTTGAAGATGGAACAGAGCTTAGTACTTTAATTCAAGTAATTATATTGAAGTTTTCAGCTCTTGTTTTGAAACATGAGAACTTATGTAGTGTTGGAATCATATATATATATATAATATATATATATATAATATATATATATAATATATATATATTTACGGTGTTCAACTCCTAAATTAAAAAGATTCACTGAAATTTCCATATATCCTGCAACTAAATACTTAAGTTTGGCTTTTATCTATTTATGGATTAAATAGCAAAGAAGGCCGGGTTCTGTAGCCATAGTTAGCAACTAGTCTAGGAGAAAAATGAGCTTCAAAACTGTACGTATCCCTGATGAGGTACATTCTATACAACTATGGAGAAGATTATAGAGGTTACAATTAACTGCAGTGTTAGATTGTGGATTCTGTGATCTCTACTGAAGTCAAAGAGGTAGGCAAGCTTGGCATCATCAAAAATACACATTTTTCAAGCAAAGCTACCAAGAGATTTGCAAGATTGACATGATTGAAAACAGATTTATGCCTAGATAAATAAGAGAATGGGAAGAAAATATAGAGAGGAAAAGATGTACTCATAATTATAGTAGATTATTACGCTTAAGTTTGGCCCTGTTATGTCTATCCTAAGAATTATAATTCCCCCCCGCCACCACAAATGGCCACCCTGTACAAGGCCCTAGAGCCAGTTTATGAGGATATGCACACAAAGCACAAGACCTCTTTGAGAGAACACCCATACATTGCAATAGGTGAAAATTTAGGGCCCACTGTGATGATGGATTGTCTAGTTTGTTTTTTTGAGGTATTGAATGTGACCAGCCAGTTTTCCCCTGACTAGGTCAATTTTGATAAAATTGGACATCCAAGTTAGAATATTCATAAAAGAATGCACATAACAGTACAGAAGATTATCACTTACTGAATAAATCTAAACAGGACTACAACCCCCCAAAAAACACTATAAAATTTAAAAGTATCTTTTATGTTTACTTCGTAAATATACATACAGTAGGGCTTTCTTTTATCCATCACAGACCAGACAATGAAACCCCATGTTACGTCTATTCTTATGGTGTGCACCAAAAATTGGGACACACTTGTGAAGAAATGAAAAGTGAAAAATAAATACCATGCCAAGACAAGACAAACCCTGATTTTAATATATTTCGTTGTTTATTTCAGGGATTCACTTGCAGTCTGGGTGGGTAGGTAAATGGCACTTGACGACAACTGCCCTCTCAGATTCCGAAATTACTTCATTCACAACTGTGACTTAATATCAGCCTGTAATGTCCAGTTTGCTGAAAAATATAAAGTAACTTGGTAATCACTCCCTAATTACACTCAGGGTAGAGTGATGGACAGCATTGTTAGATAAAAACTGAAGAAACCTATCACATCAAGACGTAGACAATTGTTTATAGATTTGTAAACAGTGGCGTAGTTAGGAGGGGCTGGCACTTTCGGGCCACAGTGAGTTTTCAGAAAGAAAAAAAAGGTCTCCAAAATGCGCTGTCAGCTGGTGGGGATAACCCACATACAAGACATGAGCAAAAGGTGTGAAAAAAAAAAAAAATTTGAACATTTTTTAAAGGGCTTGATATGGTGTTGGATTTTTAAGTGAATTCAGTTTTTTCACACCTATGTGAGAAGTCCGGACTTTTGAGTCAGTTCTTTGATTTTGAATGTCTGAATAGTGAAGAAATTAAATAAGTGAACCAACTGTTATTTTTCCTTATAAACCTAGCTTTTAATTTCATAAATTATAAAATAGATAGCTAAATAAATAGAAATAATTCCAATGCTTTAAGGATATCACATGCATTCCAATTTTTTATGGAAATTCAAAAGAAAAGTGAAAATTTTTTTTTTTTTTTAATGTAGAAACTTTAAAACCCAAAAATGGGCATTTTTTTTTTTTTTTCAATTTACAAGTTTTCACGGTAGTAAGGTTCTATTTTTTTTTGTTTAGATCATTGAAGCAAAATAAAGAATTTAAAACTAAGAGTACAACATTTATTTTGGTTTTTTAAAATGCAGTCTACTACTTTGCTAACATCTTCCATTATGTAGTAAAACAGTAATTTAAAAGACTTTTTTACATTGTAAAAAAAAAAAAAAAAACGAACCATGTTTAATAACATGACATTTATGACTCCTCACTTGTTAGAATTGAAATAACCCCCCCCAAAAAAAAAAAAAAAAAAAACTGATAAATTATGAATTTAAAAGTAGAATGTGTTTTCTTTTTAAAACAGAAGATAAAGAAAAACAAGTTATCTTTTTAATATCGTAAAGTTTCCTGATTTAGAAAAAAGTAACGTCTTCATTTTTTTTTTTTTTAAATAAAACTGGGATAAGAAAAAAATTGTACTTTTATTCCATGATTTATCAGTGATGTGTTGAAAACACCTCACTGATAAATCATGGAGTAAAAGTACAATTAAACACAGAAAAAAAAAATCTGGCATCAAACGGGCATTAGATTCGGAGAAATATAAAAATATTAAAAATCGATATGTGTATGAATAATTTCGTCGTTGACAATTAAATTTAAGGGTTATGTGTATAGTAATATTATTTCTTCTGGGGAGGGGGTGGTAAACTTTAAGTGCTGCCCTGGGCGGCAAAAAACACTACCTACGCCACTGTTTGTAAAATACAGTACATTGAAATTGCTTTTTTAAAAAAAAAAAAAAAAAGTTTCACTTACTGTTCAATTCATTTGAAGATTTGAGAGGGGGGAATTAAAAAAAAAAAAAAAAAAAAATCCATTTCCATCTGATAAATTCGGAAATTTGCACAAGCAGTTTCAGCTGATGATTTCCAGGCATACATAAATAAAATTTAGTTTTCCCGACAGTAGATATTTATCTGCCTGCTTTTTCTCTCACTGAGTATCAAAATTAGAAACATTCATGCATACTGGATTCCTATTGTGCCACTAAGACAATTCTGAAGCTGAAACACACTATCGTTTCCATTTTATTAAAATGGCATAACTTAAGAGTCAGACAACAGAAGTGGCTCAATTGCTAGTGACTAACTAGTATTTTTTTTTTTTTTTTTTTTAAACTCACCTCCAGAAAGTCGTGTTGCGTAGAGAGAGGAAGAAGCAAATGCTCAAGTTATTCTAAACAAGTGATGTTGCTGAACCTGGAAATATGCAATTGCTCTTCGTAAAGAGCTAGAAGAAAGGTGGGGGAAGGTATTTAACTTCATATGAAGAGGTTATAGAAAATTCTTTGCCTTGATGGAAAAAGTAATTACATTTTTCTTATTCTATTTAAACAAGGAATTTTATAAGTCAAGATTGAGCAACATCTTACAACAGTAGCTTCAAACATGTTCCAATTGCAAGAATTTCCTTAAAAAGATCTTTAGTTGAAAAATGTTCAATTTTTAAGGCAATTTTAATGATGGGCTTCAAACTTAGCATTTTTAAAGCCATGTAACTAGAAGTAGTGGATTTATCTAAGATGTTATCATTGAAGAATAGGAGACTCATATTTGTCAAATAGTTTATTCAAAGTAAATCCCAGATTTGGTACATAAACAAAAGTTAAAATGTTCATAGAACAAAAGCAAAAAATCTAAAAATATATACGTATATATTAAAAAAAAAAAAAAAAAAAAAAAAAAGCATTTTGAATGTATTCATAATGATCCATGCAAACAAAGGCACTGAATAAACAGGTGTGGTCTGTAAGTTGGCCCACTCTGCTGAAAAGCCATCACAGAGGAGGAAGCAATACTGTCATTAAGGTAATACGATAGTAAATCCTACAAGCATAAGAGAGTGAGCTGCATTGACAAATCAAATTTCAACCAATCTTGTTAACTTTAAACATCCCCCAAATTATAGTTAATAAATAAAAGTTGTAAAATTATATATATATATATATATTTATATATATATATATATATATATATATATATATATATATTCAAATACTGGAGCAAAACTATTTTGAGTATACCAGATTCAATAGAAATTGAATACTGCAAACAAGAATTTTATTAACGACTGCAAGTTTTACCACTTTGCAGTTATCAATAAAAGTGGGAGACATCTCATAAGTCCTGGCAGATAATGAACAGCTAAGATTATAGTATGAACAAAACATTATCAAAAACGTGTTGAGAGTGTCAATTACAAATGGTAGCATTTCATGGGACGGACAATTTATATCATTAAAAAAAAAAAAAAAAAAAGAGAAATTGTTTTTAAAAGTTACTTTCATAAGGGAGCTGAAAATACCTAATTTTAAAAGTAAATAGACAAAAATTTAATTGAAAAATAAATTACCAGCAATAGTGTTTTATTACTCAATTTAAAAATCAGTCTTAATTTAGCATAGAAACAATATTACATTTCAGTTTCCTCATTAAACTATATACAAATTGGAATTAAAGCCAGAAATTTCTATATAAGAAAAATTAAACTTTAGTGGTTGCATATAATGGAAAGAGTAAGCTAAGGAGATCATGTATTATTGCTTCCTCCATGGATGAAGAAACTTAATGCATGAATATTATATAGTTGAAAGTTAAATTAAATATTGCAAATAAAAACAGTGCAGATGCAGCAAGAGACATTGGAGAAACAATTGGATCTATTATTAGAAAAGTCAGTGAGAGCCAATGTTGAAGTTTTATTACAGTAAGAAATAAGCAGTTTCATATCTGAAATAAAATAAAGTCATTAAGACTAATTTTATATATATAAAAAAAGTTCTTAAATAAGTGGGCTCATTTCTTCAAGTGTATCAAAACTGATTATTTCCTATCAGTATTTAGACAGCATGAATAATATTTAAGAGCTGTTCTTGTCCCATTTAAGATAGAAGTTGTTCAACCATAACAAAAAAGTTTGAAGAGATCCCTGGCTTGAAAGATTTAAATATTTTTCCTCAATACAAGTTGTTGGGCATGTGGCCAACATTAATTCAAACAAAGTGCAAATATCACAGGCTGAAAGGCTGCAGTCTATTCAAAGACTTGTATTATTGATATCCTTTGTTATTAATCCATTATACCAAACCTCAGAAATATAATGAATTGGCCTAGGAAAAAAATTAAATGATATCTGCTAATGCAACTAAAATGTCAAGTTATATTCCTTGAAGAAATTACCATAAAACTTGGCAATTATTTTTGTTTTTAAAACTGGAAACAAAACCAAACACTTTAGAAAGTATATGTCAACATTTTGCATTTGCTATCCAAGAATATTTTAAATTCTTAAGTAGAAGATGCACAAAGTCTTACAATACCTGGAAAACTAGTTTAAATACAGAAATTAGCAAATTTCTTAATTATGAAAGTTTTGGAGCGCTTCTTTAATAGCAAATGATAAAGCTTTCTGATCACAGAATTTTTTTATTTTTACACTTTGGAATTTAAAAGATCACAACATTCTCACTTTCCAAAAATGTTGCACTAGAAGAATATCACTGGTCCATAAGAAAAAGTGGTCCCAAGCAATGAAGCAAGCTTTAAGAAACTAATATCACAAAACTAAAAATAACTATTGCAACAGTATTATAAATATAAACTCAATCTAGTCAGCATCATATAATTTTCACGATGCAAGTTATTAAGAAGCTTTGTAATGATTGCCATTATAGGCGACATCAGAAAAGACTTTAAAAATGAAAAAAAAGCAAAATTGTTACACCATGATTTAATATCAGTAGGGCACAATGTCAGATAATTCATGACATTTCTCTGGGCAACAGGAAGTGATGACTTATTGAAAGAAGTAAAATTAAAGTTGGGGGGGGGTTAAGGACACCCTCAGCAGAAATTTAGAAATTAGAAAAGTTTCAAGTATTTTATATAAAAAAAAATTTAGAATCCAAAGTTTAAAAGCTAGAATCTGGAACCAGTTAAAAAATTAACATTTTTTAACAATATGGATGAGAATAAGCAAGACAGCATTAAAACTCAAGCTTTAGGGTATTAAAGGAAAATTGTTTTTGTTGGTGTAAATCAATGAAAATAAAATTTAAATTGCACAAGACAAGTATTTTATGCAGACTTCCACTTCAGAGTACACACACAGAGGTTACACACTACAGTTAATTGAAAAGCATGAATATCTGAAAATCATACCAAATAAGGTTTCTAATTTAATAAATGGAGTTTATAGTCACAACCTAGGTAGATTTTAAGGCACAGTAATCAGAGTACTAATTTATCAATAAAAGGCAACTATTGTGGTCCAGGTTTTATAACAATCAGGCAACTGTCAAACTCAAAATTTAAGATCGACAAAGTTTAATGAATTTTGTTGAGTGAACAAGCCAAACTATGAACCTTTTGAGATGCAGGTCAAATTGTAAGATTTAAGATAAAAAAAAAAAGTTAGAAATTTTGTAACAGGCAAAGTTAAAAAAATTACACTTTGAGTAAAAAAAAACCCAAACTGGCAATTAACGTAATCAAATCAACCATAGGCAACACTAGCACATTCCTATATGAAAGTTAGTGTCAATTAAGAAGCTTTGTTTCAAATTCATACATTAAGATAATTATTTACCCTGCAATAAGCTATTGAATGAGAGTGAAAAGAAAATACTGTTCCTACACTGATAATTTACATTTTTTTTTTAGTTAATAACCAAGTGTAATATAGCCAATGTTTCTTACAGAGCAAGACCTAACAAAGTTACAAACTGGTTCCACGCTTTGATAGTTCGTGAATATTTAAAATGAAAGGAAATATTTTCATTAGTAAATTTAATTTTAAGTGGTAATGTATAATTTGGCTAAACATTTAGCTGCCAAATAATAGCAGTATGAAACAAAGTGAAGTGATGAACCGTACGATACTCCCTTTTAGGGGGGGGGGTGCTTAATCTTCTTGTACTAGTGAAACAAATTAAAGTAACAATGATTGGCTGATCAAAGATCAATCCTCCATTGTAGAAATGGTTTCCACTATGGAAAGAGTCAAAATTTAGCTAATTTAAAGCAAAAAGTAGCAACTATATCAGCCTTCATAGATTTTTGACCAGAATGTAGAAAAACTAAGGCTTTAAAAAAGTCTTAGCTAGTAGAAATGCTGTGAACTTAACAGGCATTCTCTAGTCAAGTGATTACATAAAAAAAAAAAAAAAAAAAAAAAAAAAAAAATTATTTTTACAAGAAAAATTAAAGTCCTTCGTAAATTCCTCCTTACCAAATTTTCCTTGTTTAAATTTGTTTTTAGTTATTAGTTGCCTGAACGGTCAGGCTGTTCTGTCAACATTGGCGACACAGAATACTCAATATAGTCTGGTTCGTCGATAAGTTTTTAATTTTAATAAAGCAGAACCAAGACACCATTTTCTAGTCCATAAAGTTTAATTTTATATTCATTTGGATTATTTGCTATGTATTTCACTGTTTTTGGAATATGATATGTTGATAACTTGATGGCCAGTTTTGTTATGTGCCGTTGGTAGAATAAAGAAAAGTAAAACGTCTTAGAAACTAACAAGGAAAAACAAGGAGGAAGTGTAATCTTGAATAAAGAACCCAAAGCGATTCACCCAAACCAAACAAAATCGAGAGAAAAGTTAAGTTCCAGATCTCAGTGTCATTGTAGTTTTTCGTGCTGTTGAAATTCAACAACGCAATTTGGAAATGTTGGCGATGGTACGGAGCGGGGGAGGAAGAATTTCTAAAGATTAAAAATTCTGTTAGGAACTACTAAAACTAGTAGTTTTTCGTAGCAAATTAAGTTAAAGCGAAGTTACTTAGTTTTCATAACTAAAAACAAAAGTAGACAATAAGATAACTAAAGATTAGGCTTATATGCAAAGAAGAGGAAGAGAAAAGTAGTGGATGATTCACCTAAAAAAATAAAGAAAGCGAAGGACTTGTTTGCACTTTTTGTAAAGACAAGGAAGCAGTTCGCCTCAACCAAAATAAGGTTCCGGAGCTTCACCCTTTTTTCTCTCTAACCCCCTCTTCCCTCCCAGATATTTAATCTTTCTGGTTTAAACCAACAAAGACAACTAAACAAAAAAAGCGCGTTCTGTTAAACGTCTTGTTAAGACTCTTTCGGTTTGCCGTTACTAGCCTGCTTTCATAATGAATGTAATTTAAACTAATCTGCGTAACAAGCAGTAGATGTGTATATAATGGACATTAGGCAATAAGAAAAAAAAAAAAAAAAGAAGACATTTGTATGAATAAAAAGGCATTGAATATAGAAAATCATTAACGCAAATAAAATGCAAACAACATCAAGCAATTGAGACAAGTTCTTAGGGTTAAAAAAGTTAACATGAACAACTGGTGGTGAAAATACGCCCAGACTCAAAAAAAAAAAAAAAAAAAATAATCCTAGGAAATCGCCCAATTTTTTTTTTTTTTTTTTTTTTACATTTAAGTTGCAAGGTAACAAAGGTAAAAAAAAAAAAAAAAAAATCTTTTTTTCAGTAGAATTAATACCCATAGTTATTTAAGGAAACTTTTTCAGAGTTTTTAGAAAAAGTAAACTAAGGAAGGTGTATTTAAATTTAGAAATCATGCAATTTATGCGCGCTGGTACAATGCGTTTAGATTTTTATGCACATAAAAATTCAAGAAAAATATATGGAAAGAGGAAAATTTACTATTTGGGTGTTACTGATGTTTTAGATTTAAGCGAGGTAGCGCCTGCTGTAGTCTTTTCTATAGAAGGACAATCTGGTGCAGTTGTATCTTCAGCTTTTTCTCCATCGACAATTTCAAACTTGAGGTTACGCTTGGTCAGCCGGTTAACAAGGCCGGTATTTCTGAAGGCAGCCGCAGGGGACAGGACACCACCTTGATCCGGTATTTTCTCATTCTCCTTTAATACAACAAGAGCCGCCTGTACAACACAAATAGCCGTAGTAAGATAACCTGGATCGGGTCCCAAAACACGGGTGGTAATTGCTTTATCAGGTTGGTCTTCGTGAGGTTCACTTTCCTTAGTGCGGCTAGGATAGCCTTTGCCATAAAAGTTGACAGAGAAAGCAGAATTATTTATTTGGCTTTCGGTTGGACCTCCAGATTGAGCGAGACCACCACTGAAAAAGCCAGGATATTTCAACAGAAGGGCTCTTCCCCAAGAAAAGTTAGCCAAAAAGTTCATTATGAAGCCAGTAATCAAGAAAATTATTATAATCAAGAGAGAGTCATGGCACACGTACAAAGCGCATTGAATAGGTCGGATCTGGTTATTTTCATAAAGAAATCGTTGGGAACGATACAAGACCGACTTATACGCATCAGGCCAAGAACTGCAGTATTTTGAACTGTTCTTGTCGTAAAAAAGTCCAGACTTTGCTTTTACTACATGTTGAGGTTTATAATATTCAACTGAAGAGAAGAGGGCCTTTCTTAGAGGCTTCAACTCGTGTCTAGTCTGGAAGCCGTACACCTGGCTTTCGAACGTTGACGTGTTATACTTAACCGGTCCGCTGGTAGAAAGGTAAGCCTCCAGGCTGTTAAGATCGCCATCAAATTTCTGCGATGTAAACATTACACCCATTTCCACAGGGAGGCACCGGAAACCACATGAACCGACTACATACACTTTGTTTTCCTTCGCCATACTGTTGTATTTCAGTTGCATATTTTCCAAGAAGATAACCTCTCCGCTTACATCTACATAATGAGTTTTGTTTTCGATACAGGCACGGACCACATTTTCCCCGAGATGTGCAAAAGGCCCACAAACATTGAGGACTAGCTTTGTTTGTTTACACATCACATTCAATGACTCTTCGTTGAGAGCATCGGCGATCACGATGGGAATATTATTATAATCCTTAGCCAGATTATCTGTAGCTTTCTTCAGCACTTCTTGAAGCTTTTCCATATTTCGACCGGCTATGGCCCATTTTATACGCTCCTCACCAGCAACTCTAGCCAGCTCTTCAACAATAAACTGGCCCGTGAAACTACTGGCTCCAAACACAACAATATCATATTGTCGTCCGCCACTGGCCATGTTTTTTGTAGAACTTAAGTATCACTGTTCCGTAAACCTAAGCTTCTAGTCTGGCTGTTAATGTCTTGCTTGTGTTAGCCGCCACAAGACAAGTATGTGAAACGTACAAAGATGACGGGTTGGGCAAAAGAATAACAAACGCCAACGTAAACTGAAGAAAATTCCGCAGACGTCGCTTTTTAAATAGTTTTACGCCCTCTATGTTAACTGCTATTTAAGGGGAGATAACTAACATTTCTTGACTTTATAAACATGTCACGTGGCTGCTGCAAGATTATAAATAAATAAATAAATAAAAGATTTTTTTTATTTTATTATAAAACTTTTATAATTAATGAAGTAGAACTGTAAAATAAATTATTTTTTGTAAATTTAAATGTTTACAAATTTGGCTAAAAATGTCATTATTTTGTTTTCTCAAAGAAATATTCTGCTTTACATTTTATTTTATTTGTGTAGAAACAACTTTTCTGTGATATCATTTTAAACCAGATCATAAAGCAAATAATTGTATCATATTCAACTGTAATTTTTAAATATTGATAAAATGGATTAATTATTTCACTTGTTCTTCCTGACTTCAAGGCATGGCAGGATAAAATGAGTTTAAAGCACGAAATACAAAAGAATGTTTTTTTGTAAGTTGCTGAAATGATTGTTTTAGAAAAGGGTTGACACTGATGAAATATTTAATAGTGAGATAAAAAAATATTCTAGCATGTTCAGACTGCTCAATTTATGTCCAATTTTACTTATTTGAATTGTTTGTATAATTTTCACATATAATTCTGAAATCACTTTAAAGTTAATTCCAACACATTTGTGGATGTGCAGGTGGTGTAAGTTTAATTGGAATGATAAATTGGGGAGCCAAGTTCAAATTGCAGTTGCATTCATTACATTCAATTATACATAAATACTCTTGGGAATGATATAAATCCATCTCTTCTCTTCCCAGCTGTGAGTTAAATAGTAGGACTTGGATCTAGAAAAATCATTCTTCTCTGCCAAAAGTTGTTAATGCAATATTCAGTTGAAAAAAAAATGAAGAATTATTCTTACACTCCAAGATTTGTTTTGGCTTCAAATAACCCACAAAGAGTTGATAAACCTTAAAATCAAATCAATCTAACATGTTTTATATTTGGAAGTAATCATTTTCAATAACTTTTGTTAACTAATTGATATTTTGGTCAATATCTGTAATGGCCAAAGAAATTAAGCTAAAATTTTAATTAAGTATCATTATGATAGTCATCTTGAAAGCAACAGACATTTGTTATAAATATCAACTATCTTCCATGTTAACATACTTACATTATCTGAACATGTCAAGAAAAAATTAGTGAGTTTAAAATCTGATTTTTGTTGTATCAGAGAGGATTTAAAGGTTTTCCTTAATTTTTATCATTAAAATTCATACTTGATCTTTTCCTATGTGAATGTAATTTTATAGTAATTGATTACATTATACAATAGTGATTTCTTCAGCTTAGTTTTGGTACAATATCACAAGCATTGGGCATCTAGGGAGAATTAAATTAGCTATTCAGTAGTAATGATCTGCAAAACAAGTTTGATTAATCATTATATGAAACAAAGCAGTTTTTGATTTCACTGTGACCATTATTGTAATGCTGATCTACTTTTTAAAATAGATTCTCATTGTCATTGTTCATTAATTCTAAGTGTTTTAAGATTTTGAATTTTCTGCCACTGACATGCCAACCTATAAGAAATTAATGCTACAGCTTACCTAAATTTGATTCTGTATAATTTATATAATCTCTGTACCAATTTATACACCTATATATTTCTAGTAATATTTTTTACCAGACTACTAATTATAGTAACTTTTTAAAAGTATTCCTTTATATGGTAAATTCAAAATAAGAATACTTTTTAATAATTTAAAACATTTAAATACAGATATATTCTTAAATAGCTTAGCATTTAGATAACAAAGCAAAAGGATTATATTAAAAATTTGTTTATGGCAATATATTTTTTACATTATTCTAACTGTGACTTTTGCCTTGATAGAAAGGTCAGTAATGTTTCATTGTAATATAAATTTTACTGTGATCATGGATCTTGTTTCCTCTCACAGTATCAATCTTTAATAACCTGATTTTCATCAATGAAACCAAATAAAACAAAAACAAAATCCATTCAACACAAAATGACCAAGTTTAGCTTGGTACAAGAAGGTGAAATTATATTTGTCACTTGATTGTAAATGTGAAATAATGCCATCAAGACACTAAATGGTCATTAAATTTTCAAGTCTGTTATCAATATTCATTCATTGATAATGAACATGTATTTTAAATAGTTTGTTAAGCTAAATAGCAAATACTGATTATATCTGATTTTATTCTCAAACTTTATAAATTTTCTTAAGTTTTTTTATTTAGGCAGTAAATCAGATAGTGCTTCAAGACAATTCCTAGATGGCATTGAAATGATATGATTTCACACAAAAATATCCTGGTCCCAACTGGTTAAGTATGTTGATTTTTTTTCATGAAGGACAGTCAATTTTCTCAGGAAATTAGCACTACACAAACTCATAAGCAGTTACTCTATTTCTGTATTTGCAAATCTACAATACCCAAGTGGTTTAAATAGCTATTCTTTTATTGTAATGTGTTCATCTCAATAATTTAATTTATTCTATTATTTGTTTATTGTGCCAGCTTATCTATTTCATTCATCACCAATTTATCTCTTATTATCTATCTATCCAATTCTTTTAATATCTATCCCAGTATTTTTTGGAATGATACTACTAAAATATTGCATAATTCATATATGATTATAAGGAGTTGTCTGTATTAAGATATGATATTGTAGAATTGGTGAAATAGTTTGACATTTACTATTAGAGGCCAGAGTCATTTAGTATTCATGCCAAGTCTATTGCTAGGGATGAGGGCTGCCCCACCTGACAAATCTGGTAAAAATCATATGAACTAATTTTAGTGTGCAAATTCTTACTTGCAGCCCCACTGACTTAAAAGGCTGGCTCCTCTTCACTCTGGCAAGAGACCTGATTTATGCTATTAAGTAATGACATATACCTAAAGGTCTCCATCCAGTCAAGCACGAATCAACAAATGAACATACACCAAGACAGAAAATAAGCTGTTGAGTGTGAGTTCAATCCTTTCTGAGCATTCTAGAAATGCAACCAGTGTCAAAATTGGCTAAGTCCAATGACTGAAGATGAGGCAGTACTGGGAGAGTTTGTTTCATGTCTTTTCTAAGTTTTTTTAATCATTCCACCCTAAGCAAGGTGATGTCACTAAAGTGCAAGGGGCTAATGAGAGTGAAAGAAATTGAGAAAATGTTATTGAGCATTAAGGACAATAAAAGAACAGGTTTCAAAAAGGCAGAAGATGACATTTAAATTGTTGAAGATCATAGATGACAAGAAAGCAAGAATCCACAAATGAAAAGTGCAAGAGAAGAAACTATGAGAATAGAAGTTACATTGTTTTGGGTGGTATATTGGCCCACAAACAAATACTGAATGACAGAAGACAACAACAAACAAAATAAAGACTTGAGTAAAAAATAATTGCCAAGTTTAATTTCATTAAAGAAAATACATCAACAAAAATAAGGTTACAATGCACTAGGCAAAAAAATCTCTGTATATTCATGTAGAAAGTGAGAAGAGTGTTGTCTTGAGAAGGACAGTTTAATGCATATCGTTACTGGATCTCCAGTAGGTCTCCAGCTCCTACTGGAGTAGTAGCCAATGGCAAGCTGGAGATGATAATGACTTGCTGGATGGAGCCATGGTCCAGCTGAACAGATACTACATTTTGATCCTCATCATTATTTATGCATGAAGAATACAATTGTGGAATAAGGCCAAAGAGGAAGTGTGGTGAGGTTGGTCATCACTGACTATCCTAAACCTAGCTAATCTGATTTGTGACCCATTCATTCATTACAATTTACTCAAATGCTACAAGAATTCATTGATCTCACATTCATCTGACATGCACCACAATACTGCATACTCAAAGTGTGTGAGTGTGTGTGTGTGTGTGTCTGTTAGGGGGGGTCCTACTAAAAAACTCCCATGACATAAAAATAATTTTCCACTATATACAAATGTCTTTTCTTGACTGTGGAACGATCTGTTTTACATTGCTTTGAGGCCTCTTTATACCCTTAATCAATCTTACAACGACTCTCGTTAAGTTTTTTCTTACAGTTGTTTTTAAAAAATGTGGGAGTGTTGACTGGATACAACAACATCTATCATCTTCAAGAGTAGAATGATGAGGCCTATCTGTTATCTACCAGTCTAATCTTCTTATTTTATATGCAATGTCCTTTCAGAATGTAGGCAATCATAGCCCTCCACCTCCTCCTGTCCCTTGTAGCTCTTAGTAAGTTTTGTCTTTTTGTTATTTCTCCCAAACCCTGTTCTGCAATCCACTTGCTCAAACCCATTAAGTATGTCATGCATTGCTTTCCCTTGTCCCTCTTTCCCTTTATCCATCCTGTGAGTATCAGATTTTCCAAGCCCTCTTTTCTCATTATGTGTCCCAGAAATTTCAACTGCCTCTTCCTGATGTTAAACATAAGTTTCTTCTTTGTTTCTATTCTTTCCAAAACATTGTTGTTACTCATATGTTCAGCCCATGGTATCCTCAGCATCCTTCTGCAGAACCACATTTCTGTTGCTTCGAATCACTTCTTCATCTTTGAAGAGATTGTCCAACATTCACTGCCATATAGGAGGACAGATATCATGTAACAGTTCAGTACTCTTTTCTTTGTTTCCAATGAAACTTTTTTAGTACTCTACTTAACTTTTGGAATGCATCTTTGGCCATCTCAATATGTCTTTGGATCTCAGTGTCACACTTTCCATCCTCTGTTAGAACACTTCCCAGATATTTCAGTTTCTATACCTGCTTGATTTTAGTATTCCGGACCTGTAATTTGCATTTAGGGCTCATCTTTTTGCTGATGAC